CTTGGCCGGCGGCTTTTGAAGAAGATTTGGTCGGTGGTGGGTGGAGGAGGGGGAGTGGAGAAAGAAGTTTAACCACGAGCCCGAACACTTCTTGCGGCTGGTGGGTGCTCCATTGTCCTCACCTAGGGTTTTCACTCTCAAGAGGACTCTTTCAAACTCTTCTAAGCACAAATGTAGAATTTTGTTTGTAAGAATATTCATCATTAACCATTACAAGAATATGAGGAGGCTATAAATAGTCCAAAATATAATAAAAAAACAAAAGACAAAAGTGCCCCCCGGGGTCACAAGCACCTACTCCCTCAAGTGAGGGTAAAATCGGAAAAGAAACAACAACAAATCAAATACAACTAATAACTCAAATATAAAGCGGTGCAATCATGGCCATAGATCGTCGGCCCCGTCTCTGGTAAACTCTCAATGATCGAATGTCCTCATCACAAACATATTACATTTCTTATTGATGCAAACTTTGAGATTTGCATCAATTTTGCATGGTTTAGAAAAGTTTGGCTCTAACAGATTGCTTAGTTGATGTTCATCAAATGGATTTACACAAATCCTTACAAGTAGGGTTTGGATGTCAACATGGATAAATTTGAATTCAATATCTTTTCAAGTGTTGTGAGGTTAGGGAGGGAGTGAACGCCTCAGTTGACAAGCATATTCTTTAGGGAGATCACATAAGCTAAGTTGTTGGCAAAGTTCAAAATTTCTTACTAGGAGTCATATGGAGGAAGGACGGATCCAACCAACCATGTGACCTACTTTGGCCCACCTCATTGCTCGACTTCAACTCTATGATGATGTGCTGTTCATTTTTCACCACCTTTAAGGATTCATCTTTCATGTAGTTCTCGAGCTTCCTAGTAAGCATCTTCCTATTCTTTGTCGAGTTCAAACAGATGTTAATCATGGAATTTGTTAGTGCCTAGATGCCTTTAAAGAACTTATAAGCTTTCTTGAATATGAGGCAAGTTCCAAGTGAGTCCTTTATGAACTTCATTGTGAACAGTCAAAGATGTTTGCAAAGTTTTTTAAACTCATCAATAACCACATTAATGTTGATAAATACAACAATGTGGTTAAATTATATTCCTCCAATTGCCCAAGGGAGGCCCCTGTGACTTTAGATCTCCGCAACTCCTCGACAATGATAAGAATCACCCAAGAGTTCACAAAACAGATAGTAAACCATAGTTCCAGCAAAATTGTCTCTTCTGCCATCAACAAACACTATAACTCACATGGTCGCTGAGTATTATTGATTCATCATCCATGAATAATAAAGAAGTGCCACACCCAACTCACTAACATGAAGAGTAGAGATCCCCAAGTTCATAACTATATGACGATCACACGATTATGAGTGTCACTTGCAAAGTTGGTTGAGACCATCATAAAAAAAAGGGAGTTTTTCATATGTCCTACACCACGAGAGAAGGAACCCAGAGACATCTATAGGTATTGTACATTCCATAAAGATCATCAGCATGACACAAATACGTGTAGCACTTGAGAAATTTTGTTAAGGACTATATGAAAGTAGGGAAGTTAAAAGATATCATCCTAGTTGATCTACAACTAGAAAAAAGAGTAAGGAAAGTGCCCATAGAGGGATAGAAGAATGAGCTAGCCCTAGCTCAAGCAATCTACATAGCTGTAGGAGGAATAGAACCATCTCGTCAAGTGAGTCTCATATAAGTTCGGCCAATAGCGTAAACTCGGTGATTATGTCGAAAACCCCCACTACTGAAGATACTCCAGCACTTTCAATAAGGAGGATAGATTGATGAATGGGAATCCCTTAAATGATGTCATCATGGTCACATCCTTGATCATGAATTATCAAATAAGGCGCATTTGGATGCTTGAGTGAATTGATGGACTTAACAAAGTAAAGTGGTAGAATTTAAAGAAAGAGTTTTCATCGCTATTTATTGATCATCGAGACTGTTACTGTATAGAGCAGTCAAATCAAACATCATTATAAATATGACACTTTTCCTAAAGCACGCATAGAACTTGATAGTAAAACTTATTACTTTACTTTTTCTGGTTGATTAAAGTGATAAATATTTTACCTAATTTTCTTAGTTTTTCTTACAAGTCGCTCTCCAAAAGATATAAGAGAATCGGTGAACTAAATGTTCACACTAATATGAAGATCTGAATGGGTTAAGGAGATGAAGCAGATTCATCGAAGAGCCATAATACACCGAGTAGGGCTCACTTGTCCCAACCAGAGGGCCACTTGACTCCGTACAGAGAATTCACTAGCCTCAACTAAGAGGAGCCACTCATCTTGGCCTTAGGGGCACTCGTCTTAGCCATGAGGAGCCAGTCGACTTAGCTAACAGGAAACTCACCAGATAAGCAAAAGACATTTACCTATGCATGCTTGAAAATGGTCACCTCGTCTACTAGATGATGGTTTCTCTCACTCACTAGAGGTGTTTGAAATCCACGCTAAAGATAGTTGTCCATCTATGTCTGTCAAGGTATAGTCTACATTTCTGTAATAGTCATACCACGTATTTTCCACCTATTTTTATATATATTGTAGGTGCAGCTACTCTTTGCCCACTAAAATCTTGCAACTGCAAGATCAAAGGTCATTTTTTTGCACGAGAGTATTCTAGAATAACTTATCTTTTTATGCTAATAATAGAATTTCTGAGTTCCTCTCTAGGTTCTCTCGTTCTCTCTCTCCTTTTACTCACTTTCTGATGTCGAACTCTTGTTATTCTTGCAAATAGATTTTTGGTGTCACCTTTGAATAAATTTGAATCGAACACAAACTAAACCTTGGGTAGAATGGAAATCAATTACTCTCAAGACAATTATAAAATTTTGAAGTGGAAAAGAAGTACAATGGAAATAACTCATCAAAATCATGTCTCATGTTTGCACATGGATATAATTTCTCTTGAAGATCTTCACTATCTTGATCAAGAAATTAATGAACGAAAATAAGAGTTACACTCAAACTAGAATTTTATTCAAGAACTGATTGATTTTCTTGTACATGCATCAAATCTTTATTTATAATCAGATAACGCTTGAAAATTCCTATCTACTTACCCTAGTAGAAATTAAAAAAAAAAAAGGAAAAACAAAATCATTGAAAAGTAGGTCTCCAAAGCCGCCTAGTCCAATAGAAAGAAGAAATGTCACTAGAACTCCATAATATGAGCAAAAAGATACCCAAATCCCGCAATGAGTGCAATTGAATTGATATAATCCTTGAAGGGTGCGTTCTAAACAACTATCGGAGAAGGGTTTTTTCAAAAAAGGTACAACATTGGAGTACCAAACTAGAAATCCATTGTTAGAAGCTATCTAATAGAAAATCATCATAGCAGATAGGGTAGGGTCGTTGAAGCTAGGTTACATAGAATCCATGAATTTCAACAAAAATGCAGGGAATAAGGATACCGATACCAATCAAAATTTCATGATAGAGTACCATTAATGACATGTACGTACAGACAACAACAACATCAAGCTTTTATCCCACTACGTGGGGTCGGCTACATGAATACTTTTTCTCCATTGTGTCATATTAAAAGTCAAATTCTTGTTTAAATCTAATAAAGAAAGGTCATTCCTAATATTTTATAACCACGTCTTTTTAGGTCTACCCCTACCTTTCTTAACATAAGTCAAATCTAATACCTCTACTCTCCTAACCGGGTCATCGAAAGGCCGCCGTTTTATGTGACCAAACCATCTAAGGCGACTCTCTCTAATCTTATCTTTTCTACTGGAACTGCTCCAACCTTTTCACGTATATGCTCATTCCGTATCCTATCTCTAAGAGTAAAGCCACTCATCCACCTGAGCATCCTCATCTCTGCCACACTTAACTTAGTATTATGCTTCTCTTTGAATGGCCAACATTCGGCACCATAAAGCATTGCAGGCCTCACACCCTTTTGAAATAAACAAAAATCCAAAAATTAAAAAAAATAAAAATAAAACTCATATTTAGGATTTATTTTTTAAAATACTAATTCACCCCCCCCCCCTCTTGATGCATCTCGTTCTTTCAATTGGTATCAGAGCAGGGTCTCAAAATAGTGTTTTAGGAAAACTTACGAAAATTGATCATGGCATATTTTGGTAACCGTAACACTTCAGAGAGTTATTTCATAACTCTTCCATTATTATTTGACAACATACTATTTCATTTTTGGAAAATTTGAATGTCTACATTTTTATAATCTATAGATTACCACATGTGGATGTTGGTATAAGAAGGTTACACT